GGGAGATATTTGAGAAAAATTGATAAGAGAGGTCCTTATACCAGCAACAGACAGAAGCCAAAACAATCATTTTTAGTAATTTTACGTGTCTGTCTGCATGTATCTTTATTACAACATCATGCAAAAAAACACTACAAGAAATTGAATGCGGTTTTCACATTTGTATTCCTGGAGGTTTAATTTGAAAACTGGTGTATGTTTTATACACCAGTATTTAATACGTCATCCTTAATACGTCATCTAGAAGTAATTTTTTTAATTAATTTTCCAAATTCTATATCCGTGAGTCCTTAGCCTATTTGCTATTTCCTTATTGTTTAAGAAGAAAAAATACGTGGACAAAGGAAACTGCATTTAATATTTATAGTATTTAGCTACATTCTGGAATTAATTTTAATTATTTTTCTATTTTTATACTAAATTAAGTGTTCTAAGCATACACAATTAATATATAATTTTTTTTTATACAATACTGAAAATGGCGGGCATTTAAGTTTTTAAATTTATAAAAGCACACTTAAAGTCTATGCTAAAAATAATAGACAAAAGTTGATTTTATAAACGTCGAGGCATTTTCGGTTTGGTCGTGAGAAGGAATGCAGTCTTTCTGGCTCCCTGCACACATGCGCATGCTTTATGGAACAGGAGAACACTGCTATAAGTGATTTGTGGTTGTGTGTTGCGACGCTGTACTATTGTCAGTTAAGTCACTTCGTTCTCGATCGAAATACACAGAATCGAGATAAGTTTTAATGTAATTTAATATTCGTATTGTACAAGGACTACATTATACAGGTTGTAGGGGACAGGCTGGCAAAAACTGAAGTAGTGAATTCAGACCTAAAAACGGCGCTGGTAGAAGAGGAGGGTAGCGACAATAATAAAATAATATTAAGAGAGAGGCTTACCAGTATATTTTCTTATGACAATCACAATCTAACAATAATATGTCAATCAAGTAGAAAAACAAAATAAGTATCAAAAATACATATTCATAATATAAAATTATAAGTCTAAAAAGGTAAATTATATAAAAAGAGGTCTGTCGCCAACAAGACCATTATTCTGAACCGAAAGCTAGTAGAAATTCTTTACGGAAAATTTCAATTTTTTCCCCCTATTTTTCTCATTTGAAATCATGTAATCTATGATATTGAGTCATAATATAAAGAAATAATAATATTTTACAGTGATGTACTATGAAATATCAAAAAAACAGTAACAGTAAATGATTCACGCGTCGTGTGGATCGTAAAAGTTCAAATAGATAGTTTGTGGTGCATTTCCGGTGGGAAAATAATCTACCATTTCATTCAGACCGTTCATTTGGGTCAGCTGTTTTTGTTTTGGCCAACCTGTCTCTTACACCCTGTATATTACACCATTTTGCAGTTGTTTATATATGTAATTTTACTTATAAATATTTGGGAAACATGCTACATAATTTGGTATTTGAAAAATTTCAAAGAAAAAATATACAATTGGCAGTTTCAATTTGTAAACATTAAACAAATTCTTATGAGAAATAAGATTATGCCTTAGATTATATAGATAGAGCATCGAGCCTCATAAACGGGTCAACTTTTTGTCAAATTAGCTGACTTTATTAATGTTCTACATTCTGTGTGCGTAACAGAATGTATTTTGACGTATTTATACTTAATTATTTAATAAATAAAAATATTTTTTGCGCATTAAAAAGGTGCAGAATTTATAAGACACAATAAATATAGAAATTATAAAGGAACCACTCATAACTAACATATAAGAAAATTTATTTATACATTTATAAATGGAAAATTTATAAATGGAAACATAACAATATGTTTGTTGTTTCCAACAATTATTTGGACTTCTTTAAATGTAATTATTATCTACATTAGTCTTAAAATAAAAAAATAAAATAAAAAAACAAAATGTTCAACGCATATAATACAAATAATTGAAGAAAATTATTAATTTAATTGCAAAATATTACTTGATGTTACCAATAAGTATTTTATAAACAAAGAGCAAGACTCGACCAGTTATCATAAAGTCATAATAAATATTGATTTTTATGCGTTTAGACAATTATCAGTAGATAAATATAGTTTTACACTTATAATTTTTGTTAACTACAGTGCAAATTAATTCAATTGTACGTAAATATGTATTGTACCTTTTAGTCCAGAAACGAATAAAACAGTTAATGAACTGTGGTAGTAATTAGTTACATTATTTGTAAAAATTATTATTGTATCTAAATACGTATAATGATATTTTTTACAAATAATGTAAATATATATATATATATATATATATATATATATATATATATATATATATATATATATATATATATATATATATATATATATATATATATATATATATATATATATATATATATATATATATATATTACTCTTATTATATATACTATTAATAATTAATTAATTATAAACTATATAACTACTTATCTGAGGGTATTATTGTAATTGTTAATCGTGATTTGATTGGTTTTTAATTTAATTGTGAATTAATTGTGGTAGCATGGAGTATTGTATATCTTGTTTATGGATGAAGATAAAAGTACAAGAAGTTATTATACGTACTCTACATTAAAATTATATCACTTGCCTCCAATTATCAAGTACAAATTATTATTTCGGGGGAAAGGGATTATTAGTAATGAAGGTTTAAAACCTTATCGAGTCGAGCTTCACATGGTTTATCCTGGAAACCATAGTGATTAATTGTTGTTATATCCATCACTATGGGCCAGCTGGGTTGCTTTTATTCTTATCTCATTTCTCACTGATGCCCCGCTAGCCTATACAGACATCGCAGTCGGGGATTACCTATCATTCCATCATCACTTATAAAAAAAGTCATCCATTCAATTGTCGATATTAACACAAACTCACATTGTTTTCTCTTAAAATTCAAGAGTGAAAATTTGGTGAGTTAACATAGTAATACCTCTTTGTAATATACGCGTGTGTGTGGTCAGCTACACACTCGCATTTTTTGCAACTGAGTCTTTTTTTTTCTTTAGCTTTCTGTTACTATATTTTTATAATGTTGTATTTGCAACAGATGACCGGAGACCACTAAGTAGCCATTTTGGCTATGGATTGACTATCTAACTTTGATTAATGATTTTGCTTTAGTAAATAACCATTAATCTAAGGTTAAAAAACTCAATAGTGCACATAAAATGGCTGAATATTGTAGGGTTATTTTTTCAAAATAAAAAAAAAAAATTACAAATCTGTTTATAAATGACGAAGTTCTGAGATAACAAACATAAAATAAGATTAAGAAAGGTTCTCAGTTTATTAGTAGAAAGTATAGTTATGTATGTCTGTATATTGTTTAGATTTGTAAAAATGGATAGAGCAAGTGACCACAACTAGAGAGAGACTTTGTACAAAAGACTTTTGCACCTCTGTCCTATTCGTGTTTCTACCGTGAAGCAGTTGTGTTTGCATGGCTGTGTTTCTGTTTGAAGGGTGTGATACGGCGTGAATTTACAGGGTACAGAGGAATAACACCCGACTCCTCAGGAATGGCGTGAATTTACAGGGTACAGAGGAATAACACCCGACTCCTCAGAAATGGCAACTCATGGGGGGTATCATGGACGAAACAGTATACTCTGTTATGTCCATGGCACTGCTCATGTCTATAGGCGACGGTTACCATTTTCTATTAGGTGGGCCGTCAGCTTGTTTGCCATTCTAAGTTGTATAAAAAAAATGATAAAAAAAAGGCCGAGTGTGAGTTAAACTCACACGACTCAGGTGTTATTCCTCTGTACTCTGTTAATGCACGCCATATCCCACCTTTCAAACCGAAACATAGCCATGCAAACACAACTGTTTTACGATTGAAATACGAATGGGACAGAGGTACCCAAGCAAACGACTTTTGTACAAAGTCACCCTCTGGTTATTTTTTGTTAATTTGTAATTAACATACAAATGTTTTTATTATCATTATTCTAAATAAATATGTCCTTATAACTTTTTTTTTACTGAGGTAGTCGTGTGAATTTTTGAAAAACACTGCTCTAAATTGTGCCTCATTTTCCTTGACTGCTTGATAACTTTTTGTATTATTGTTAGACTTATTTCCGCATAAAATGTAATGATCAAGAGCAAATTGATAAGTTTGCGCAGTGAATAATCATGTTACACTGATAATTGTATTCGTATCTTGATGAATGATGAGACACCGTGATAATCATCTGATGACTACAATAATACGTTTCTTTTTATACAACTTAGAATGGCAAACGGGCTGACGGCCCACCTGATAGAAAGTGGTAACCGTCGCTTATAGACATGACCAGTACCATGGACATAACAGAGTATTTTGTTTCGCCCACGATACCCCCCATGCGTTGCTATTCTTGAGGACTCAGGTGTTATTTCTCTGTACCCTGTAAATTCACGCCATATTCCACCCTTCAAACCGAAGCACACCTATACAAACACAACTGAATCACAGTAGAAACACGAATGGGGCAGAGATGCCAAAGCAAACGACTTTTGTACAAAGTCTCCCTCTGGTAAATGGTAATACATGGCCGTAGCTAGGAGAGGAGGGCATTGAGGGGCTACTATGCAATGCCGTACTTTAAAAGGCTCAATGCCCTACCTTAAAATGTAAGGCCTCAAGAAAATTAGATAGATTCGCTTCTTTAAAGTCACTTTTTGTATTGTATTGTAAAATCTTTATTGTTCATAACTCTGATTAAAACTGGTAAATGATTTAATATACAATGGCCGACTTATCCCATAAAGGGATCTCTTACAGTCAACCTTTGAGAAGCTGAAAGAAAACTGTAGAATATATAATGGTAATAACCGTACAATTAAAGATAAACTAAATAATACCCAGTACAAAACTGGATATATAATACAATAAAAACAGCTGTATACACCTACATATGTAAATATAAGGACATGAATTATAATATAACATTAATACATAAATAAATAAAAACTTACGGAATGTTAACGGTTGTAAGTGTGGCGTATGTGAGTGGCAGTCTTCCATCGTGCGCTTTTCAAGGCACTTTCTTCCACGCACAACCATTCTTTGGAATCAACTTCCAGTAGCAGTTTTTCCGAACCGATACGTCAACATAACCTTCAAGAAAAGAGTATATTCCTTTTTAAAAGGCCGGCAGCACACTTGCAATGCCGCTGGTGTTGTGGGTAATCATGGACGGCGGTAGTCACTTACCATCAGATGAGCCGCATGCTCGTTTGTCCCCTGTGTTGTAAAAAAAAAAAAAATAAAAAAAAATTTAATGTAATGTATGTATGGGAAGCATGGGTAGTATCATGGGCGAAACAGTATATGCTGTTATGTCCATGGTACAGCTCATGTCTATAGGCGACGGTTACCACTTTTCATCAGGTAGGCCGTCAGCTTGTTAGTCATTTTAATTTGCATTAAAAAAAATGTGAATATTTATATGCGGTTTTGTTTGTTCGGAAGAAATCCTTTATCTTTCGAGAGGTTTCTTATCGCGTCTCCATCGTATATACGATAGTAGCTACTTACATGTAAACCCAAGTTTTTGCCAAAATATATGTATGAATCATAAAAAAAAAAAAATTATAATTTATTTTCATAATTTAAGATTACAATCTTTAAGATTGCAGTACATTGCATAAATTTCTTTGCTTCAAAAAGAAAAATGCTATGAGTAAAAAATTAATAGTAAAAACGCGAGAGGAAACCTTATTGATTAATAACAAGTAGATTTTGTTGTACAGAAAAAAAAACAGATTTCAATTGTGACTAAATCAGTTATTTCTATTTCAATACCGATTTTGATTAAAATTTCTATGAGAATAAACAGTAAGTATTTTTTTAGATAAAAAAGATTTTCAAATATATCTCATATATATATATATATATAATGAGATATAATAAATATATATAACGCTGGCGGGACACTAGTGATGATAGGTAAAGATGAAAGCAGTTCAGTTGGCTCATCGTGAAGTATTTGACAAGAATTAATCACGATGGTTTTTAGGAGGAACCGCGTGGAGGTCGACCTGATACGGTATATTGCTAGTAATGGGGCTGTTATTAGCCATTACTGACAATCCCTTTTCCCCGTATTTTTGTTAGTCCTGGATACAGTTCATTTCTGTATTAAATTTTGTTAAAATCTATTCAGCTGTTTAAGCAAATACAGTAGGAAATAGGACAAGGGGGAAAGGGATTGTTAGTAATGGGGTTTGATGGCCCCATTGCTGGCAATTTATCCTATCAGGTCGACCTCCACGTGGTTCCTCCTGGAAGCCATCGTAACTAATTCTTGTTGAATTCGTCATGATGGGATAACTGACTTGCTTCGTTCTCACCTATCATCACTCACTGGTGCCCCGTCAGTATTTACCTACAGCGCAGGCAGGGTTATCATTCCATTATCATCCATTAAAAGAAAAAAAAAATAGGAAGTAAGACAATATAGACCGAAAACAAAATGGTGTATCTATCATCGAAGTTATTCTTTTAAATTGAATTAAAACATAAGTGTTTATCGTTTATACCGCAGGAGCATTATCTTATCGTCTTGATAACTTACATATTCTGGCAGTGACAAGAAGACAATTCGCACGTAAGCGGCTTATGGTGCTGTTTTAATTTGAAAGTGATTGAATAAAAATCGATTATTGCGTGCAGTGTGTATATAAATCAGTGGTCAGCCACTGGCTAGTTGCAAGTAAGTAGATTCCCTGTTCTGTTTTATATAAATAGATATATAAGACGATTAAACGTTTTATCTAGACAAAGGTGGCTCTGAGTAAAAAAAAACAATCAAAATAAAGTTAGGTTAGTATTTTATAAATTAACGATAGAATATTTCAGAGGTTTTTTTTTGATGGGTGTAAATGGTATGGTAACCCCGCCTGCGCTAATGCGATACGCTGGCGGAGCACTAGTGAAGGGTGATAAATGAGAATGAAAACAGGCCAGTTAGCCCATCATGATGAATTCATCAGGAATTAACCATGATAGTTTCCAGGGAGAACCGCGAGGAGGTCGCTTTGGTTGGGTATATTGCTAGCAATGGTGCTATTAAACCTCATTACTAACAATCGCTTTTCCCCCCGAATATTTCAGAGGTTTTCAATTAAAAATAGTTTTAGAAGGATTTGGAGTTTGATTGATAGATATAATGTTCTTTGAACATTTGATTGAATATGTGGCATATGTATCTTTCTTAAATATACTCTCACATACGTTACCTAGATGGTCGCCATTTGTTTTTTTTTTTTTAAATGTGATTCACCTATTCTCTGTATTGCAATATCTGGGACTTTGAGATTTATTTGAGACATGCTAAACCTCTGCCCTCCTCCATAAGGCGCACAAACCATTCTTTGGAATCAACTTGCAGCAGCAGTATTTCCGAACCGATACGACAACATAACCTTCAAGAAAAGAGCATATTCCTTTTTAAAAGGCCGGCAGAACACCTGCAATGCCGCTGGTGTTTTGGGTGATCATGGGCGGCGGTAGTCACTTACCATCAGGTGAGCCGCATGCTCGTTTGCATCCTGTGTTGTAAATAAATAGAAAAAAAGGCTTTACCAGTAGTTGCTATGTTTCGCAGGCGGTTTTTTTTAATGGATGATAATGGAATGGCAGCCTTGCTCGCGTTAACGGGAGGGGCACTAGTGAGGGATGATAGGTGAGAACGAAAAGTCAGTTAGCCAAGCATGATGAATACACATGGAAATCAGCACGATGGTTTCCAGGGGGGACTACGTGGAGGTAGATCTGCCAGAGTATACTGTTTCGCCCATGATACCCCCCATATTTATTTTCATTATCTAAACATGAAAGTTACAATTATGTATAATATAGCATAATGAACTTTTGTACAAACAAAGTAGTATATTGTATTTAGTGATTAATGATGAAACGAGATCATCTATTAGTGACTGTTTCTAGCGATAAATCATCACGATATGAACTATCATATCATGATAATAAAACATGTCACCAGCAAATGAGTCATTCTTCTTAAAGTCAGTTGACTTTACTTTTATGATTTTTGTTCGTAAATGATCGATTCGTAATTTATTTGTTTATGTTTGTCTGATGTCTAAATTATAGTTAATTAAAATTAAATTATACTAATAGTAAGATAATCTGATAATTAATATAATAATAAGATATCTGATATTAATATATAAATAATAGATAATTATTGTTTCCTCCGTAAGATTACAATAGTAAACTAATTATAAATACAAACAATTACAAGAAAACATTACATTGAGAAAACAATTGGCGAACTTATTGTTAAGAGCTATCTCTACCAGGCAACCTTTGGATGGAAAAGAGTAATTATAAACAAATTGACTGGATGCACTAAACTCTGTACGTCTTATTAAATACCTATTAAGATTTTTAGAAGAAAATAAAGTTATTATTGTTAAACAAAGAAAAATTAAAAGATATATTAACAAATTGACTCTTTGTGATAATTAAAAAAAAAATGTTATTGTAAAATTAAAAAAAATTAACAATAACAAATTGACCTTTTAAGACCGTTTATATTAATTAATTTTCTTCCCACTTGAAAGAAATTGCGTATAGACATAGTTTGTTTACGTAAATAGTTTTATCATATTGGTAAGAGCCGTATTGTTGGTAGAGCACAAGTATGTTTACTTTCAGTATTATGTAGGTTTGATAGATCAGTAGCGTTTAAGTACTATTTATATAAATACATACTTCACTGCAAGTAGGTCGTTGTGGGTACTTCTACGATTGTAAACTATGATTATCGGGCAGTAATAAATTCTTTGAAAATTTCTTATTTATGTCTTTTGTTGCTGGCGTTTGGTGGAATTTTGAGTTCATTTGTATATTTTAATGTGTATATAAATTTATTGAATGATAAGGTACTATACCATTTTTCCTTAGTGTTTCATTATCCGTTCACTGCTGGTCATAGGTCTCCCCTATAAACTTGTGGCAGTTTATAGGGGAGGCCTATGTCCAGTGGAACAGTCCTAAAGCACCTGCATCCACAACCTTCTATGCATTTGAGGTCGTCACTCCAACTAATGGGGGGTCGTTCTATACTGCGTTTGCCTGTATGAGGTCGCCACTCAAGAACCTTTCTTCCCCATTAATTGTCGGTGCTTAGTGTTTACAGTTTAAAAAAATATCTCCAGTACATTATGAATATGTAATTAATGAAAACTTTTATGTTCTAGGTGAAATTAAATTAGATAAAGCTACATACAAGTATTCGATTGATTCTGGTAAAGTATTTATTTGTGGTTTGGTCTCTGCATCTATTCCTTTCCATCTCGCCCATCTAGCCCATCGTGACGAATTCAACAAGAATTGTTCACGATGGTTTCCAGGGGAACCACGTGGAGGTCCACCTGATAGGGCACATTGCTAGCAATGTCGAACTCCATTGCTAACAATCCCTTTCTCCCCAGGTGGACATTTAGGTGGGATTTGCAAGCAGGTTTGCCAGTGCAAAGCCCTCCCAATTCTAATTGGCCTAAGGAACGGCCCCGTTCCTTCTGACAGTCCATGGGGGCCGCCTATATCCAGCAGGGAAGGAATAAAGACTGATATGATGGTATCTCTTGTTTCAGAAAAGCTTATTCTCAGTTAAGGTTTCTTGCCAAAAGACACAATGTTGCCAGCAACAGTATCGACGTTGGTGCCGCGTTTGAAGTTGAACTTCAAGAAGCCGAAAATAGATAACTTCGTATTCAAGCTACATTACCAGTTTACAGTTACGCTCCTGATAGCGTTTGTGATCTTGGTCTGCGCCAGGGAACAGTTTGGGGAACATATCAGATGCATATCCGGCGCTGGAGTGCCGGAGAAAGTGATACAAACGTATTGCTTCTTCATGGCCACATTTACGATTGTAAGTTTTACTTATTTCAACATAAGTATATTTTTCCGTGAGAGTCAATCCCTAAATATTTTTAGGAGTAGACTTAAAGAGCATCTTCTATCTCTATGAACATATATTTATTTATCTATATGTGTAGGTATGTTATATGGGTAGGTAGGTATATTGTATGTGTTTATGTATGTGTAAGTATATGCATAGATGTAGGTATATATTTATGTATATGTGTATTTATACGATTAAATATAATGTAATTAATTTAATTTTGTCTAATTTGCTTAAAAAATTATTACAATATTGTACACCGATCTACCCGCTGACATTAATGCTCCTTTCCACTTTGGGTTTGCTGTAAGAAAACTCAATTAGAGTTAAGCTCGCCTTTGTACATTTGATTACCTCTGTCCTATTATTATAACTGGTGTGTACAATAAAGAATTAAATAAAATAAAAATAAATAAATAAATAAGCATCAGTGAAACTGAAAATAGGAGTTAAATATGCTCTTTTCTACAATAGTTGTAGAATAATAGTAATGCTCCATTTTTCTATGATTTGAACAATTTTTTTTTATTTTTTTTTTATACAACTTAGAATGGCAAACAAGCTGACGGCCCACCTGATGGAAAGTGGTAACCGTCGCCTATAGACATGAGCAGTACCATGGACATAACAGAGTATACTGTTTCGCTCATGATACCCCCCATGCGTTGCCATTCCTGTGGACTCAGGTGTTATTCCTCTGTACCCAGTATATTCACGTCATATCCCACCCTTCAAACTGAAACACAGCCATACAAACAGCTGCTTCACGGTTGAAACACGAATGGGACAGAGGTACCCAAGCAATCGACTTTTGTACAGTCTCCCTCTGGTAAAAGAAAATAACATGTTAAAGTCTTAACTATGTATCTTTTCCCAGGTACGACATTACAATGAAAGTCTTCTTCAAACTGGGTTCCTACCTCATCCAGGAGTGGGACCTATCTTGGAAAATGATGAGACTATTCACCACAAGTACTACCAATGGGTGCCGTTCTTACTCTTCCTTCAATCTATAGCTTTCTATATGCCTCATTACATATGGAAGAAGAAGGAAGGTTAGTGGTAACACAATTAAATAAGCAGTTAAATTAATTTAATCACTATTGTAATGTAATAAATAGGTACTGCTCATGTCTATAGGCGACGGTTACCACTTTCCATCAGGTGGGCCATCAGCTTGTTTGCCATTCTCAGTTGTACAAAAAAAGGTACTATAATAAAATTAAATCTAAACATATATCAAGTAATTAATGTCTTAAATAAATTAATGAAGAAGTAATATAAAATAATGGTATAATAACTTAAACCAAACAAGGAAATATGGTAGAACTCAGAAAGCAAAGTGAGTTATTGCACAAAAGTCGTTTCTGTTGCCACTCGTGTTTCTACCACCAAGTAGTAGCACTTGCCGACGTACAACGTGGGTAATGGTAGTAAAATTGCAAGGTACGAAAGCATAAAATTTTAGTTTTCATAAAAGTTAACGCATACCACCTCATCATGAGGGTCTCATTGTATTTTGTATTGTGCATTATGCTCTTCGTGCCCATAGAACACGGTTATAGCTTTCCACTAAGTGGTTTGTATACCATTTCAAGTTGGATGAAAAATTAACAGCACAAAAGCAATAATTTATACAAACGAGGGAGACTTTGTACAAAAGTCGCTTACTTCGATACCTCTGTCCTATTCGTGTTTCAACCGTAAAGCAGTTGTGTTTGCATGGTTGTGTTTCGGTTTGAACTAAAATATGACGTGAATTTACAGGGTACAGAGGAATAACAATTGAGTCCTCATCAGGGTATCATGGCGAAACATTATACTCTGTTATGTCCATGGTACTGCTTATGTCTATAGACGACGGTTACCACTTTCCATCAGGTGGGCCGTCAGCTTGTTTGCCATTCTAAGTTGTATAAAAAAAAACAAGCTGGAGTGAGATATAATTCGATATTGGAGACACATGAGAATGTTCTTAAATAAATTTAATATTGGTCTTATTCAATCTATATTAGCTGAACGCGAATCGGAAATTTTTGAACATCTCTGTAAATTATTGATGCCCATTAATTAATAAATCAGTTCAGGGTACGATAGGGCTGATATACCTGAGGAAGATAGTACCTTTAATAATAATTATAAACTCGAATATTAACTTGTTAGAGGAGAATCATGATTTTTTTTTTATTATGATTTTTTTTTATTGTAGGAGGGAGAATTAAAGCTTTGGTGGATGGTCTGCAGTTTGCGAGTCTTTCGTTCCAAGAGGAGGATATAAAAGTTAACAAAGATACGATACCTTCGAAAAAAACTATAGAAAAGAAGATTGCACTCATAAGAAAGGATATCATTTTTAGGTAACCACAAGTCATATATCGTCAGACCCGTTAATATTCTTTTTTTTATGCAACTTGGAATGGCAAACAAGCTGACGGCCCCCCTGGTGGAAAGTGATAACTGTCGCCTATAGACATGAGCAGTGCTATGGACATAACAGAGTATACTGTTTCATCCATGATACCCCCATGCATTGCCATTTCTAAGGACTCAGATGTTATTCCTCTCTAATTTAAATATATATATATATATATATATATATATATATATATATATATATATATATATATATATATATATATATATAATCTGACAATTAGGTCATTAGGATGCGTAGTTTATCTTATATATATATATATATATATATATATATATAGTCATGGAATAATTGATATCAAAATGGGCTTTATCGCTAACTTGAAATAAGTAATCTATATGCAAGTGCCTACGATATTGAAAGAAGTAGGTATTTTATATGCATGCGCATACATTTAAAAAAAAATTAACAATAGATGCAATCTACAGTTATACGCGACAAGAATTATTCAAGTTTTCTGGACGCTTCGACCACCTGACATGTTCCACGATCGAACATTCTAGCTGGAAACCGTCGTAATGTATTCAGAACGTTTTCAAATAAAGGTTTTCAAATGGCGAGCGTGTGCAGTTATATCTAATACTACTAAAACTAAAACTACTCGTTTTAAAAAAATATGCAAATTATCACAAGAATACTATATATATATATATATATATATATATATATATATATATAACTAAGTACTTATAATAGTATATATGGGGGGGGGGAAGGGATTGTTAGTAATGCGAACTATCAGTCCCATTGCTAGTAATATACACCAGTGAATAGTGATAGATGAGAACGAAAACAGGCCAGTTAGCCCATCATGATGAATTCATCAGGAATTAACCATGATAGTTTCCAGTGGGAACCGCGAGGAGCTCGACCTGGTTGGGTGGGTATATTGCTAGCAATGGGATTCTCAGTCTCCATTACTAACAATCCCTTCCCCCCATTCCAAGTGTATTCATCACGATAGGCTAACTGACCTGCCCTTTTATCCTTACTCACTGGTACCCCGCCAGTGTATATTCTTAGCGCAGGCGGGGTTACCATTTCATTATCATCCATTAAAAAAAATAGTATATATTACATAAATAAATATATACATCACACATATTTGGTATTTATGTATCTTCGAATGACTCTTTTTTTTTTTTTACAACACAGGGGGCAAACGAGCATGCGGCTCACCTGATGGTAAGTGACTACCGCCGCCCATGATCACCCACAACACCAGCGGCATTGCAGGTGTGCTGCCAGCCTTTTAAAAAGGAATATACTCTTTTCTTGAAGGTTATGTTGTCGTATCGGTTCGGAAATACTGCTGCTGGAAGTTGATTCCAAAGAATGGTTGTGCGTGGAAGAAAGTGCCTTGAAAAACGCACGGTGGAAGACCGCCACTCGTCCAGATGATTGGGATGAAACTTTAGTTTGTGGCGGGTTGTACGGTGGTGAAAATCAGCAGCAGGTATCAATCCGAACAATTCCTCAGAACACTCCCCATGATAAATTCGGTAGAAGATGCACAGAGACGCAACATCTCTGCGCAGTTTCAATGGGTCAAGTCGGACAGTAAGGCGTTGACTATCGATAATTCGAGCCGCCCGACTTTGAATGCGGTCTAACGGAAGGAGTTGGTACTGTGGCGCTCCTGCCCACAGGTGAGAACAGTATTCCATATGCGGCCTGACTTGGGCTTTATATAATTTCAGGCGGTGTTCTGGAATGAAATATCGTCTCACCCTATTGAGCACTCCTAACTTTTTGGAAGCTATCTTAGCCTTCTCCTCCAGATGACCGCAAAACTGGACGTCGCAAGATATATCAACGCCCAGAATTCCTAGACTTGACTTTTTATCAAGGGAAGTGCCCTGAAAGTGAGGAGATACGACAAACGGCGTCTTTTTTGCGGTAAACGCGCAGACTTGTGTCTTTTTGGGGTTAAATTGGACAAGATTTTGTTCACCCCAGATCGAAACTTGATGGAGTGAAGTTTCGATTTCAGACACAAGTCTATTCCGGCACTCATCGGTATGTGCCCGCGAGATCTTTGCATGACCGGTATATAATGTATCTCCTGTACTGTCGTCCGCATAGCAATGAATATTACTTATCTGTAACATATCATTGATATGCAGAAGAAACAGAGTCGGAGATAGTACACAGCCTTGCGGGACACCAGCATTGCCACACCCGATCAAAGGCCTTCGCAATATCCAGACTAACTGCTAAGGCCTCTCCCTTACTCTCGATTGCCACTGCCCATCGGTGTGTTAAGTAAGCTAAAAGATCACCGGCCGAACGTCCCTGTCGAAAGCCATACTGGCGATCACAGATCAGCCGGTGCTCTTCTAGGTACCGGAGCACTCTAAAGTAATGATTAACCGCAGATAATGCCAGAGGGAAACTTTGTACAAAAGTCGTTTGCTTGGGTACCTCTAGCCCATTCGTGTTTCAACCGTAAAGCAGTATTGTTTGCATGGCTGTGTTTCGGTTTAAATGGTGGGATATGGCGTGAATTTACAGGGTACAGAGGAATAACACCTGAGTCCTCAGGAATGGCAACGCATGGGGGGTATCATGGGCGAAACAGTATACTCTGTTATGTCCATGGCACTGCTCATGTTATAGACATGAACAGTGCCATGGACATAACCACAGCCAGCGACAGTTACCACTTTCCATCAGGTGGATTGTCAGTTTGTCATTCTAAGTTGTATAAAAAAAAGTCTCCCTCACAAAGTATCTGTTCGGTACCATATGGATATTTCCATATCTCGTATTTATTTGCCTCTCAAAACGAAATGCAACCATACAGTCGCAACTGCTGGGCATCAAACAATGGAAGATAAGTGTCCACGTGTGTGACTTTGTACAGATTCTTTCTCGTTGAAATGAAATGAATTTATTTTTCATGAATGTAGGCAATTTCAGATGATAGAGGTTTATATTTCCCATGACATTCTGCCTCTATGTCGGCGTGCAAATTTTTAACAATAAAAATGAATACCAGAGGGAGACTTTGTACAAAAGTCGATTGCTTGGGTACCTCTGTCCCATTCGTGTTTCTACCGTAAAGCAGTTGTGTTTGCATGCCTGTGTTTTGGTTTGAAAGGTGGGATATGGCGTGAATTTATAGGGTACAGAGGAATAACACCTGAGTCCTCAGGAATGGCAACGCATGGGGGGTATCATGGGCGAAACAGTATACTCTGTTATGTCCATGGTACTGCTCATGTCTATAGGCGACGGTTACCACTTTCCATCAGGTGAGCCGTTAGCTTGTTTGCCATTCTAAGTTGTATAAAAAAAAAAATAGAATATTTACAATATTAATTTAATTTGTAAATTAAATACTAAATCCGATTTTAGGTTACGAGTTTCACGTACCTGGTCCGTATGGATGATGGCGATGGAGGTTGCAAATCTTCTGCACGTGATGTTTCAAATTTGGCTAATCAATAGATTTCTGAACGGAGAGTTTATTGGTTTAGGGCCGAAAGTCCTCTCTTTTAGTGATTGGAACGAAATCGCTGATCCTTTGGAGGCTATTTTCCCTAAGGTATTGTTAATTAAACTATTAGTATTAAGTAATAATTAAAACTATATTTCTCTTTTTTTTATTAAAGTTTCAAGAATGTCCAGACTGTTTACGTTTTCTATCTATGAGGTGTCAGCTTGTTTGCGTCTTTCCATTTATTGATTTAACTAAGTTAATTAAAAACGTGATCCAATGATTGGCGCGAATTAAAGGGCTTAAAGTTTAGTTGTTTAGTGAAATAGAATAGAACAGAAGAAGCAGTTGAGATTTCAAAATATATATAACCTGATAAGTTTAAAAAAATATATATATACGTATATATTCAGGAATTTTATTTGTAGGTAACGAAATGCTTGTTCCACAAGTACGGTCCCAGCGGCACGATACAACAGCACGATGCACTCTGCGTGATGGCGCTCAACATTGTACACGAGAAAATATACGTCATACTGTGGTTCTGGCTGCTGTTTCTGTTTATTGCTTCAGTGCTTGGTGAGACTATTTATTCTTTATTCTACACAAAAGGTTATTGAAATAGAAAAAAACAAACATAATAGTGCACAAAGGCGAGCTTTTTTTTATTACAACACAGGGGCAAACGAGCATGCAGCTCACTTGGTTGTAAGTGACTGCCGCCGCCCATGATCACCCACAACACTAACGGCATTGCAGGTGTGCTGTCGGCTTATCTCTAAAAGAGATTTCTTCCAGTAAACCCAAACCCAACTATTGCTTTTTTCGACAATGTTCTTTGTCCTAGTACGCTAGAATTGTAAATAAGCTAATGACTGAATTTATAAAGACGCGTCTGGTCTAGCGTTTGTCTCAAATATGCCTATCATATCAGCCTTTAATTGTCCACTGAACATATGCCTCACCCGTGGGGGGTTTTGTCAGTAGTTGCTATATTTAGCAGGAGGATTGGCAACCGCAGTTAGGCTTTAGAGATGTTTTAAGAGGGACGCCGCTGTCCGTCTCTCGCCTTCCCTTAGTCGACTCTTACGACGCCAACGGGAAAGGAAGGGGTGGCCTATTCCATGCCGAAACATACACATATGACTTTGCATGAGAAAAGATTCAAGGAGAAGGGGATTGTTACGTAAAAATGGGGATATTATCTCCCATTGCTAGCGTTACCCTGCTAAATCAACCACCACACGGTCCCCACTATAAATCACCGTAGTGAATTTTTGATGAATTCGTCGCAATGTGATAACTGACTTGTTTTTCTCTTCTTTTATCGTCCCTCATTGGTGATCACTATCGCCACTGCCTGTGTATTTATACTAATATATAAAACGGAAGAGTTTGTTACTTAGAGGATACTTTGCACATTAATTCCTTCAGGAAAAGCTGCGGAAGAAAGTACTAAATAATGCTCTTAAATATTTTTTCAGCTGTCATTTGGCGCGCTATGTCCTTTTATCTGTACCGCCGTTCACTGAGGTTCAACGACGTAGTCTTCGGACAGGTGGTGTCCGGAAAATTCAACCCTTATAACGTGATCAGGGTTGTCAACGGCTGCCAATTTGGCGATTGGTTGTTCCTGTATTATTTGGCTAAAAACATGCAAGGATTCCTCTTCCAGTGAGTATTTTGAGCACACTGTTAAAGTTTCTTCGAATTTGGTTGGTGTGGCATTATTATACAGTTAAAAAGGCATTAAGGTATTATTATTAATTAAGAAATATAAATGGATAAAAATTCAAATTACCTACTGGAAGTATTTTAGTGTAACTTAATTTACGTTAATTTATTATTGTTATGACATTTAGAATGGAAAACATGCTGATGGCCCATCTGATGGAATGTGGTGACCGTAATCCATAGACATGAATAGAATCACGAAGATAAAAGAATACCATGTGATGCTCATGGTATCTCCAATTGTTATTCCTGAGGACTATAGTGTTATACCTCTGTACCTTGTAATTTACCTGTAATATCTCATCCTTCAAACCCAAATATAGCGATGCAAGCGCATCATCTTCACGGCAATAATACAAATAGGACAAAGATATTTATTTGGTTTTATGGATGATAATGTAAAGATAACTCCACCTGCGTTAACGGTATAAGCTGGCGGATTACCAGTGAAGGGTGATAGATGCAAATGGAAATAGGCCAGTTAGTCCATCATGATGATTCTTCAGAAAGTAACCATGTTAGTTTCCAGAGAGACCGCGTGTAGGCCACCTGCTTGGGTATATTACCAGTAACGGGATTTCTAGTCTCCATTATTATTCGTAACAATTATTTCTCCCCTGCATTTCGTTCTTTTTTTAATGGATGATAATGAAATGGTAAACCCGCTTGTGCTAACGGTATACACTGGCAGGACACTAGTGAGGGATGATAAAGCAAGCCAGTTAGCCCATCGTGACGAATTCAACGATAAATTAGTCACGATGGTTTCCAGGGAAAACCGCGTGGAGGTCGACCTGATATGGTATATTGACAGCAATGGGGATTAACCGTCCCATTACTAACAATCCCTTCCCCCCTCCATTCGGTCTTATGTTAATATGAAATTTCGCAATAATTAAATAAGTAATAATATTATAGTAATGGGGGGGAAAGAGATTGTTAGTAATGGAGACTGAGAATTCCATTGCTAGCAATATACCCAACCAGGTCGACCTCCTTGCGGTTTCCCCTGGAAACTATCATGGTTAATTCCTGATGGGGTAACTGGCCTGTTTTCATTCTCATCTATCACCCTTCACTGGTGCTCCGCCAGCGTAACCCGTTAGCGCAGGCGGGGTTACCATACCATTTAAACCCATAAAAAAAAAAAACTGTCCACTGCTGAACATAAGCTTACCTCTTGAGAGGTCTTGCCTGTAGTTGCCACGCTTGGCAAGTGGATTCGTATCGGCAGTTGGGCTTTGGAGATGTTTTAAGACAGACGCTGTTGCTTATCCCTCGCCTACCCATAGTTACCTGTTAGGACACCCATGGGATATGGATGGGGAGGCCTATTCTATACCGGGCCCACACGGCTATTGTTAATATTAATACAAAGGATTTTGCAATGTTTGCTAAATTACTAATATTTTTTGCCTTCCTAACAAGTATATTAGGTTTAAAGGATTCAATGTAATAAACCAATAGGTCATCAAATAAGAAATTTGCATGGAATGTCGAAGCTGTAGCAGAGGGAGATTTTGTACAAAAGTCGATTGCTTGGGTACCTCTGTCCCATTCGTGTTTCTACCGTGAAGCAGTTGTGTTTGTATGGCTGTGTTTCGGTTTGAAGGGTGGGATATGGCGTGAATGTACTGGATACAGAGGAATAACACCTGAGTCCTCAGGACGCATGGGGGGTATCATGGGTGAAACAGTATACTCTGTTATGTCCATGGTACTGCTCACGTCTATAGGCGATGGTTACCACTTTACATCAGGTGGGCCGTTAGCTTGTTTGCCATTCTAAGTGGCATAAAAAAAAACGACTAGCTTAGACACAAGTATGATTTGTTAATAACTCAATTTGTTTTACAGGGAATTATACAAGACACTCGCCGAGGAATTAGAGAAGAGAGACATGCCTTTAGATCAAAATATACCTGAAGAGGTCGGTGCACAACCGGTTTTGATTGCCACCCATGAGTACAGCGATGAAACGTTACCACTTAAAGATATCAAGAAAGGTGCATAATATAAGCTTAGAAAAGAAGATGGATGGGTCGACCCGGTAAACATTTTGTTGTCAGCTGCCACCTACAGGGTCAATGTTTTCTTATTGGAATTAAAAGAATCCTATCTCTCAATTTGGATCAAACATTACATATTAACAAATTTTCATTACAATTGGTTGAGCTGTTTTGGAGATTAGCGTGAACGAAGAACGTGACACGGGATTTTGATATGTTAGGATATTATGTAGTATATATAATATCAATTAATTGTTTATTATTTAATTAGCATTTTTCAGTGTAAAGAAGCAAAACTGTTTTAGTTTAGGTTAATAGTTACTTTTAACTAAAGGTGACTACTTTGGACTATCTTTCTTAGACTTAAAGGACTCTTTGTAGTGAAAAGTTCTCTCGAGCTGTTTTTCTTGCAGTACTATTACTTTTAATTGCGTTTCTTACAGTTGTAACTATTTCTGACTGTTTTTCTTGTAGTCTATATTTTATTTTATATATAATGTTATTTTTTTTTAGTATTTTAAATTATTTTGATTGTATTATCTTGGAGTAAAATTATTTTAAATATTTTTATACAGTCATTATTTTGGATTGCTGTTCTTGCTCCCGAAATTATATTTCATTGCTTTTGTTGCAGTTAAAATTTTTTTTGACAATTGAGAATTTTTACTAAAACGTAATATTATAATAATATAAGATTAGTAGTGAAGGGTATATTAAAGGCAATAGTGGTGTTCAAGACTGAGAAAATTTTCTTAAGAAATTATTAATTATTGTAGGTTTGAAAATATTTTTTTTAACTTTTCAAATAAATCACGAAGTTACATAATTCATTTGGCTATAAATTAAAACTAAAAGGAAAGGATTAATTTATGACAAAATTAATATAAAAGCTATGTACAATTTAGAAGATAACACTCACACAAACAATTTAAAATTTTAGAATTTTAAAATTTTTTGCATTTAGATGCAAAAAATTTTGCGAAACAACATGAAAGCTATTTTATTATGTTTCTTAAGAGAAAATTTCTATTTTTATGAACAATTTGTATAATTGACTGTAATATAACTACTTTACTGTGGCTGTGAATGACAAAGTCTTGTAAATACAGGTTGTTTATTATTGCTGATAAGATTGCTGGTTTTGTCAAATTCTACAACAAGCTGGCTGGCCACCATGGTTTTTTATGACATAAAAGAAGTATTAACCCCATCTATTATACGAGGTTTGTCCGGAAAGTACGTATAAAAGTTTTTTAAAAATTTTATTTTTCAATTATTCAGGTAAATCAATTTTATCCCCTTCAAAGTACTCCCCCTGTGACATAATGCACTTGTGCCAACGCCGTTTCCACTGTGAGAAGGCTCCTTGAAAGTCCTCTGGTTGTAGGTTTCTCAGCTGCCCCGTCGTAGCTTTTTTTATCTCATTTATGTCCCCCAAATGCCGCCCCCGAAGTACCAATTTGGTTTTTGGGAACAAGAAGAAGTCACACGGGGCCAAATCCGGCGAATAGGGGGGGTGTTCGGTCACCGTAATGGAATTTTTACTCAAAAACTCACGGAACGATCTTGGCGCAAATTTTTTTCATTTGAAGTTCGTTTCTTAGAATTTCGTGGACCACGGTTTTGCCCAAATTAAGCTCTTCAGCCACCTGTCTGACCGTTAAACGACGGTCCCCATTAACACAAGTTCGAATTCTTTCCACGTTTTCGTCGGAATGTGAAGTGGAAGGACGTCCTGAACGTGGGTCATCTTGAACGCTTTCTCGGCCCTCTCTGAATCTTTTTAGCCACTTGTGGACGGTTGGTTCCTTCACAGCATCATCCCCATAAACTGTTCTGAGATCGGCAAAAATTTCACGGCCATTCTTGCCGAGTTTCGAGAGAAACTTGATTACGACGCGCTGCTCTTCAACGGAAGCGGGCTCCATGCCGACGGGGTTTCGTTAAGAGGTAACTTCACAGATGGCGTGACAAGCCAGTTCGCACCGCACGGCGGTCAGACCAGAACTGAAGCATTGTTAGGGACATAAGGAAGGGGTCCTGCGCTTACCTGGCCTCCCCACTCCTCTTTCTCGCATTCCAGAACACTTTTATACGAACTTTCCGGACAGACCTCGTACTATACTAGCAGGGTTCCAGTGAGGGATGACTGGTGAGGATGATGTCAGGTCAGTTGGTCTATCATGACAATTCGACAGGAATTAACCACGATGGTTTCCAGGGGTAATGGCATGGAAGTCGATCTAATGGGGAATATTGCTATCCATTGCTAAATGGAGCTGTTAAACTTTAATACTAACAATCCTTGGATGGTGCTTTGACTTCTTATCTCCCCCCCCCCCCCACTACCTTTTATGATATTTTGCGAATGGAATGGACATATTTTAAGATAATTTCGTCACCTAGATGATGTATAATATAACTTTTGTTATTTTATTTAAGTAATAATAGGTAAAAATGTTCTGTATATTTGACAGAGATCAGAGGGAGATTTTGAAGAAAAGTCATTTGCTTGGGTACCTTTGTCTCATTCGTGTTTCTACCGTGATGCAGTTGTGTTTGCATGGCTGTACAGGGTACAGAGGAATAAAATCTGAGTCCTCAGGAATAACAACGCATGGGGGGTATCATGGGTGAAACAGTACTCCGTTATGTACTGCTCATGTCTATAGGCGACGGTTACTACTTTCCATCAGGTGGGCCGTCAGCTTGTTTGCTATTTTTATTATATTAAGTTGCATAAAAAATATTCAACAGTAATAAAAATAATTTTGTATACAAGATAATGTTTAACAATATAAGCGATATTCTTAAAAAAAAATTAGACCTTAATTATAAAAAAAGTGTTAGTATGCACTTACAATAACGTACTATTTTTATAATCAAAGTCATGGAACCAGTAAAAAAGTATTGTAAACGCATTGAATTATATTTATTGTACTTATATAATTATATATACGTAAATATTAATATATTTGTAAGCTAATAAATAAATCCGTGCAGTGCAATGAGATTCGATTGCAAAAAATGGACAAAATAGCTCAAATTTAGCCTATTTAAAATTTATGGAATTGATAGACATAGTGTCAGTGCTCAAAATATTATAGGTTCTAAAAAACAAATGAAAAAGCGCCTTCATTTTGAAGTAGCTTAAAATGTGATCGGATTTTGGTGTTTTCGTCGAATCCATTCGATTTAGACAGGTATTTGTTAAGTACTTATTAAATTTCATGCTAGTCTAAATTTGTTTTTTTTTTTTTTATATAATAAAATAGGTAGTGTTATATTTACTGTTTCTTGTTTTATTTCTTATTACTTTTTTTTTAATATACAATTAAATAAATCGATATAAATTGTTAATTTTATACGGTGGCCTTAGTTAATTATACTTAAAAATGTTTGCTCATGACTTAAAAGTGTGTTGTAGGTACATAGTTTTAGAACTGAAATTTCGATGTAGACGTCATAATATGTTAATTTATATTTTTCTTGTGGTAATAAAGTATATTATACAGTGTAAATCTTTATTTAGCAATTATTTTTAAGCGAGTAGTACATAGTTACAAGGTAGTTTGCGTCCTTTATTTATTTATTCGATCTATTCAAAAAGTACTTAAACGATTATAAAAAAATGTACACCTATATAAAGTTACATTTATAGTCAGCAAGGTAAGCTATATATTATTTACAATAATTCTATCTACCCGTATGTACCAAGCCGGGCTGAATCGCTAGTTTTTAATATACCTAGGCATGTCATTCTGGATTTACCAGATGTCTTTGTATAATGCATACATACTTTTGTCATGTATCGGTGTAGCTTGTATGGCTGTTTTTCAATTTTTCTTTCAAATTACAGGGTAGGTACACAGGCATAACACCATAGTCCTTAAAAATATTAATATTAATTAAATCAGAGGGAGACTTTGTACAAAAGTCGATTGCTTGGGTACCTCTGTCCCATTCGTGTTTTTACCTTGAAGCAGATGTTTGCATGGCTGTGTTCCGGTTTGAAGGATGGGATATGGCGTGAATTTACAGGGTAAAGAGGAATAACACCTGAGTCGTCAGGAATATCAACGCATGGGGGGTATCATGGGCGAAACAGTATACTCTGTTATGTCCATGGTACTGCTCATGTCTATAGGCGACGGTTACCACTTTCCATCAGGTGGGCCGTCAGCTTGTTTGCCATTCTAAGTTGTATAAAAAAAATGCCAGCATCATAGGGATGCCATGGGTGTCACATGTAATGTTCTACGGAGGAAACAATAAAGATTATCTATCTATCTACTTAAAGTGCTGTTGATGTTTTTTGACGACACTGTACCATTTCCCACTAGATAGGCCATCAGTTAGTTTTGCCATTTTAGATAGACGGGATGAATTTCCAAGGGTAACCCGCTGAGCGATTTGAAGCTTCCTCATTTCATTGCGCGCGCTCTTATGGGAGAAACTATGTTATTAGTAATTGATCAATCACAACTGCCCACTCTCAATTCACACCAGATCTAATAGTAATAATTGCGTAATAGCCAGCTCGGTTGAGTGAACGTTAACGAACTCTGAATTGCGTTCAAGTTTGGTCCAGAGAGCGCAAGGAGCACTCACTGCTAGTATTCGAGTATTGAACCTTAGCGTATGCTTCGGGACGTGCTCTCTCTTGGTTTAACCGATTTCATAAAAATATTTTATCCTATATAATAGTTTATTTATTTATTTATACTTATTTATTTATTCTTTATTGCAGAATAAAACTTTGTACAAATGGCAAGCTTAATGCCCTATAGCAGCACTCTCTCTACCAGCTATTACCAGCAATTAAATTGAGCTGTATTTTAAATAAAAAAAAAATGTGTTTCTTAAATTATTTATCCGTATGAAGGAGGACCGCTAGTTAAAAGAAAAATTGCTTTTTTTATACCACAAAGGTGGCAAAGAAGCATATAGCTCGTCTGATCGTAAACGATCACGATAGCCTATGGACGCTTGCAACACTGGGTGTGTCACGTGAGCGTTGCCGATCCTAAAGAATCTTTAATATACTCTTTTTGGAAGAACTCCACACTGTAGTCTCTAGGGAAAACCTCGGCAGAGAGCTCATTTCACAGCCTGCGCGTTCGCGGGAGGAAATTTCTCTGAAACCGCACTGTTTGGAGGGAAAGGGATTGTTAGTAACGTGGCTTAATGGCCCCATTGCTGGAAATCCTTGTCAGGTCGACCTCCACTCGGTTCCGCCTGGAAACCATTGTAATTAATACTTCTTGCATTCGTCACGATAGGCTAACTGACCTGCTTTTATACTTATCTATCATCCCTCACTGGTGCTCCGCAAGTATATATACTGACAGCGCAGGCGAGATCACCATTTCATAGTCATCCATTAAAAAAAAAACTGTACTGTTCGTGGTCATTCATGCTTAAGCGTGTGAGGATGAATTCCCTGAAATTTCATTTAAATAATAAACATTTTGTTTCAGTTTTCTATAGCTTTTATAAAATCAAACGATTTTATAAAATTTTATATCCTTTAGAACATTAGTTACAAATGTATTACTACATAATATTAGTTATGTTAGACTATATGATTATATTCTATACAAATACATATTGTTATTTATTAGTATATTATTAATAGACAGTCAATGGATTGTTGTTGATGTAGTTATAATTCAATTAATAAATGTAAGTATTTTATTTTAATAAATATAATATTTTATAGTACAACTAGCTGACTCAGCAAACGTTGTTTTGCCATATACATTATTTGGAGAATATTTTTTTAAACACCTTGAGGGTCACCTTTATCATTGAGGGGTATGAAAAATAGATGTAGGCTGATTCTCAGATCTACCCAATATGCGCACAAAATTTTATAAAAATTGGTAAAGCCGTTTCGGAGGAGTTTGGTAACAAACACCGCGACACGAGAATTTTATATACAAGATATTAATAATATATTGTCATGTAAATGCTTATTAGACTATTGGAATGTTAATTGTTTTAATTACGAATTTAAGTTTCAAGTATTGCAATTGATTCGATCATGTATCGGTTCCATTATTTTTGTAATTATATTTTTTTGTGAGGGTAGTAACGAATAGGCTGGCTGTCACTTATTCTTGTTTTAATTTTTGCCGAGAGAACACGTATTAAACACTCGTATCAAAATTAAGAAAATCTTTTATTTCTAGTAATAGCTGGTAAATAATCATCCATTTATTACTTATTATGTAGTAGTTAATTTTTTAGCGCTCGATGTCATTGTCACTTAGTAATCACGTAGTATTTGGCACAGACAAGGATGTAGGTTATTAATATGTCTCGATCACGCGGACAAGGTTACGGTTACAACTTGTCATTAAGATCACTATATATTTTATACTAGCTTTTACCATTATTTTATTACAGCTTGTACTACTTTATCCCATATATTATGTGTATACCAAATGTCATAGTGAATAGTGAAGCTGTTAAGAGGCTAAGAGGTAACAAACAAACTCACATATTCATAATAGTAATTAGAATAAGGATATGTAAGAAGGAAGTATAGATGACAATTTTTTTTTTGCATGTACGAGTAATAAACATACTAATGACGTCCCGAAGGATTTCCGCTTCCCGGAATTCGGTCGCACAGGTAGCGGCGGACTGGTTCTGTTTGGAGATCCCATCGGTTACATAAAAACCAGTACTGGCGTCTTGTCAGCCGGCAGTAGAGCGCCGTGGCTCGCACTGTATGCTCCATGAACCTTGATTACATGCTAGTTATTATTCGAAATGAAGGCTATAATCCTTTTACATGGAGTAAAGGGATTATTAGTAATGGGCTAGAGGAGACAGGCAGAGGGAGACTTTGTACAAAAGTCAATTGCTTGGGTACCTCTGTCCTATTCGTGTCTCAACCGTGAAGCAGTTGTGTTTGCATGGCTGTGTTTCAGTTTGAAGGGTGGGGTATGGCGTGAATTTACTGGGTACAGAGGAATAACACCTGATTCCTCAGGAATGGTAACGCATGGGGGGGGGGGGGGTATCATGGGCGAAACAGTATACTCTGTTATGTCCACGGTACTGCTCATGTCTATAGGCGACAGTTACCACTTTCCATCAGGTGGGCCGTCAGCTTGTTTGCCATTCTAAGTTGTACAAAAAAAAAAAAACATTATTACTGTTAGCAATATACCCTATTTTTTATGGATAAAAATTTAATGGTAACTCCGATTGTACTATCGGTATACACTGGTGAAGCACCAGTAAGAAATGATAGGTGAGAATGAAAGCAGGCCAGTTAACCCATTATGACGAATTTCACAAGAATTAATGGTGGTTTTCAGGAAGAACTGCGTGGAGGTCGATCTGACAGGGCATATAACTAGCAATGGAACTGTTAGACCCCAATACTAACAATTCCTTTCTATATATATAATAAACCGTATTAGGTCAAATTGCACGCGGTTTTTCTTTGTCAAGATGGACCAACTGATCTGTTTCATCCTCAACTCTATCACCTCTCTACTGGTGGCCCATCAGCATATAGTGACGCGCAGGTGGAGTTTCTGTATCATTTTCATTTATTAAAAAAAATATAGGTTACAACATGGTGCAGCATAACTGATTTTTTAGCAGTTATCATTGTAAAAGAACTGTATGCTGAGATAATTTCATCATCATCTCAGTCATTCTCTGTCCGTTTCTGAGCATAGGCTTCCCCCATAGATTTTTTTTATACAACTTAGAATGGCAAACAAACGGACGACCCACCTGATGGAAAGTGGTAACCGTCGCCTATAGACATGAGCAGTACCATGGACATAACAGAGTATACTGTTTCGCCCATGATACCCCCCATGCGTTGCCATTCCTGAGGACTCAGGTGTTATTCATCTGTACCCTGTAAATTCACGCCATATCCCACCCTTCAAACCGAAACACAGCCATGCAAACACAACTGCTTTACGGTTGAAACACGAATGGGACAGTGGTACCCAAGTAAACGACTTTTGTACAAAGTCTCCCTCTTGTAAAACTGCCACAAGAAACGGTCCTGAACCATCTGCACCCATTAACTTACTTTCTCACAATTGTTTTGTTGATTTAGTAATATTTTCGATAGGTTAAAAACATGTTATAATGCGAAGAGTATCAAATCTCAAAGTCTCCAATTTTGCATGAATCCATAAGGTAAATATTATATGTTCACATTCCTAATATTGACTTTACTTAAAAAATTACCTTGACATTACTTAAAACACTCTATGACTTTACTTAAAAAAATAGTTTTAGTGAACTCACAAAAAGAGCAGATTTTACAACTTAGCATCCATATTCATACAAATACATGTGTCTTTATTGTGGATTATAGGTCAAATTAAGGTATTACATTAGTTAAATAGTATCTCCATGTCCTGCTATATAAGCGTACAATATATGGAACAATTATAAATAAAGTACATGCATTATTTAACAGTATATAAAACATACCATTTAAAATTATATAGTGAAACAAAATAAATTAATATGAGACATTATTTTTTACCAATGATGACTATTTATCTTTATCATTGATATATTCGTTTAGGCTGTAATAACATTTATTAATTAACATATCATGAAGGTTCTTTTTAAAAACACTTGCCTCAATTAATCCTCGTATACGTTTTGGTAATTTGTTATAAATTATTACAGCTTTACAAAATATACTGTCTTTCATCAGTTTTGTTTTGCATGGTTATTATGGTATTCATATATTGCCTTAAGAAAATTAGCCTACTACCAATTTTTATTTAGTCAATATTTTATTAGTTTTTAATATCATGTTTTACTCCACATATATTCTTAATAATTAAGAGTACCTATACGACAACTCCAAAATGATACCACTTTTATAGTTCCACTAGTGTTTTTTGTATTTATTTACATAACAAAATTATAGTTATAAAACATTATATGAAGAGATACAAGAATGGTATGCAAAAATTTAAATCATTCTTTTTCTTTTTTTAAATACACTATATGGCTTCTTTTCAGCCATAACTAGTACCTATTGATTAAAAATCCTTATTCATGCAGCTTAAAAGTATTTTTCTTAACGGGTTTATCCAAGCGAACAGTTGAACAAAATTGTTTCCTATTTTTTGTTTTTACATTATGATGAAAATGGTAATCTTGCCAGAGTGTGAATGAGAAAGTAAAGAATGATGAAGTGAGAATGAAATGAATTTTTTTGCTTTATAGAGATGAAAGCGAAATTTCGTTTTCCGACTGCGGTATAAACATGTTAGCGGGATAGAGGAGTAACGGAATAAATGATGATAGGTGAAGAAGAAGTCAGCTCAGTAACACATTCGTGACGAATTCACTAGTTATTAACCATTATGGTTTCTTGTTGCGACCGACTAGCGAGAGTTTGTGTAAAATAACTTACCAATTACGATAAAACTGATACGATTTATAAGCGCGCAGGTTACTAAAACTCTAAGAAAAAAAATATTAAAACATAACTTATGATTTTAATACACTTGATCGTGATAGTGAAAAGTATCGTTTTTTGCTACATTGTCAGTGGTCATCTACACATAAAAACAAAAAAGCAAACTAAAATAACATACTTATTGATATTTAATAAAAAATATTACATCATTTAGTACTTAAAATTTGATTTTACAAATAGTACTTATACTCACTCCTTAACTCACTGTAATTTAATTATTTTAAAGTTTGTGCTTTACGTCTGGTTTATGAAATTATAAAAAGGCGGGATGATGGGAACGCGATTAGTTGATTCTGATTTGCGTTTGGCGCGAAAATACATGGTGTTGCACTCATTTAAAGTCACGAAAATTACGTTTCATTTGATGAAACTATAAATTATAATCTAAGTACAGTAATATCTATTAAATTAATATACATATATTTTCATAATAAATTTGGTAAACGTATAACTAAATTAATTATTATTTATTTACACGTACAATACGATTATTTATAAATTTTTACAAACATAAAGAAGTTTGGATGAAATGGAACGCACATTTTATCGTATGGTAACATTGACCATAAAATGGCGTCATGGCGCGTCTTTGACAGCTTGCTGCTAAACGGATTCATTGACATCTATTTGTCTTATTCTAGCGTCATTCGTCATGATACTGTTATCTCTTTCAGCGTTATAGAAACATTATTGTTTCGTGCATGTACAAATAAATTGTGAGAGACGGATCAACCGTGAGACTGAGTACTTTTCTTTGAGGTCGTAGGTATGCTTGCGTTTTGAGTGTTAAATTGTGTTTCGCGTTAATTTCCTCGTATATTTACAGATATTGACGTTATTTAACAGACAATAAATCTTTGTTTGTGTGAAAAATTTACTGTGTGTAAATTGTCGTAAATAAACATTCGTGGTGCGACAAAAAAAAATTTGCGAAAATAATTTTCTTTGAGAGAAAATAACTGAAGAATTGTGCAGAGGATAACAAAAACAAGTAAGTTTAATTAATTATTTTAAATGGGTTTTGTAAAATTATTTTGCCAAGCTCATTTGTAACACGTAATGAAAACACAGCTGATTATACCTCGGGTATATTGTCTAATTTATAGGTCAGTTTACTATTACATCTCATATATGTAGGTTTATTATTATTGACAATACAAAATATGGTAGTATGTCATTCTATTATGGTATTGTATTCATAAAAACACTGATTCAATTAAATTTTCAACCGATATTAGCAAGATCTATGCCTTATTAATTGTTTTATATATTTCCTCAATTTAACAGTCAACATTATTACTAAGTAATTATCATGATGTCATTAGGTCTCTGAGTTTCCTTGAACTATATCATTGCATAATTAATACACTGCTTCATCACTAATAAAATAATGTCATTTGTTTATTTAATGAAATTCTATTTTATTTGTACGAGGTTTGTCCGGAAAGTACGTATAAAAGTTTTTTAAAAATTTTATTTTACAATTATTCAGGTAAATCAATTTTATCCCCTTCAAAGTACTCCCCCTGTGACATAATGCACTTGTGCCAACGCCGTTTCCACTGTGAGAAGGCTCCTTGAAAGTCCTCTGGTTGTAGGTTTCTCAGCTGCCCCGTCGTAGCTTTTTTTATCTCATTTATGTCCCCCAAATGCCGCCCCCGAAGTACCAATTTGGTTTTTGGGAACAAGAAGAAGTCACACGGGGCCAAATCCGGCGAATAGGGGGGGTGTTCGGTCACCGTAATGGAATTTTTACTCAAAAACTCACGGACAACAAGAGAGGTGTGGGCAGGGGCATTGTCGTGGTGAAGAATCCAACGCCCCTCTCGCGCCAATTCTGGACGAACTCGTGCCACACGAGCTTTGAGGCGTCTGAGCACATCGACGTAGAATTTTCCATCAACTGTCTGGCCTGGAGGGACGAATTCTTGATGGACAATCCCCCGAACATCGAAAAAAACAATCAACATTGTCTCGGCCCTCTCTGAATCTTTTTAGCCACTTGTGGACGGTTGGTTCCTTCACAGCATCATCCCCATAAACTGTTCTGAGATCGGCAAAAATTTCACGGCCATTCTTGCCGAGTTTCGAGAGAAACTTGATTACGACGCGCTGCTCTTCAACGGAAGCGGGCTCCATGCCGACGGGGTTTCGTTAAGAGGTAACTTTACAGATGGCGTGACAAGCCAGTTCGCACCGCACGGCGGTCAGACCAGAACTGAAGCATTGTTAGGGACATAAGGAAGGGGTCCTGCGCTTACCTGGCCTCCCCACTCCTCTTTCTCGCATTCCAGAACACTTTTATACGAACTTTCCGGACAGACCTCGTATATGAACAAAAATAGATGTTGTGTCATATTATTTTACATCAACAGAGGCTTAATACAAATAAGTTAATTTTCTTTACTATATTTATCTGTACTTGTAACAATTAGTTGATCACAACATGTCTTCATATCATAGTATTTTAAAAATAAAATGGAATCATAATTATGAATTTATTTATAATCCTCAATACTTATAAAACCTTTTTAATGTATGTAGTTTTATTTTAATAATAAAAAAAATTGTTCCATACAAAAATACTAACATCAATTGTGGCAGAATCAGTTATATAGATGAAACTTGTATGGTACCTATCTGAATGTATATCTTTTCAGCTAAAAAAGAGGATTTTTCAAATCGGTTTATATATGTTGAAGTTATGAGGTAACAAACATAAAAAAGTACTAATTTGAGAACCTCTCCCGTTCTTGAAGTCAGTTGTGAAAACATAAAATATGACCAATTTGAGAACCTCCCCTGTTCTTGAAGTCAGTTGTAAAGACATAAAATATGACCAATTTGAGAACCTCCCCCGTTCTTGAAGTCATTTGAAAAGATACAAAATCTAAACAATTTGAGAACCTCCTCTATTCTTGAAGTCAGTTGAAAAGCCATAAAATACAACCAGTTTGAGAACCTTCTCCGTTTTTGAAGTCATTTGAAAAGACATTAAGATTGTAGACTAATCCAGTCATATCTAGAAAAACAGAATATACTTATTTTTATTTCAAATCCCTGCTTACTTTTTAAGTAAAATAAATATAGATATAAATATTACACTGATAGCTAAAGATATGAAGTTAATACATATCTGGGTTAATTTTTTAAATGAGATGGCACTTAACTTACTTTAAGTTTTCTAGGCCTGAGTAATATGTGGACAATGGAAGTTGATAGTGAAAATTGTAAAAATAACTTACAGTTCACATAATAACATTCACAGGATGATAATCATAATATGAAATTCAAGGTATTTATGGTTTTATATCTAGTTGTGTATTCACAACTGGTTATGATGGAAATAAATAAGATTTTTTATACCACTGAGGTGGCAAACAAGCATTTAATTTATGGCTCTGATAATATTATCTCTCAAAGAACCATTGATATGAAAAATCTCTAGATGCACAATAAAATTATTGATATGTAATAAAATTTGCTATTTTCTTAAATCTGTGCACCGCCATTTGCTCTCTCTGTTTGGCGTGATGATTGACTGGTAGAGAATACCATCAGGCATTAAGTCCGCCCTGTAGACATTTTTCAATGTGTGCAAAAGTATAAATAAATAAATAAATTAAAATTTCTAGATGCACAATAAACTAAAAAGTACCACTGAATATAGTGTGTATTTAACCAAATTTTACATTCATTTTGATTGTAGTCAAATGTGCTGATATATTCTTAATGGTTTTGTCAAAATGTAATATCTATATCTATTTGTGATAAGTAGACTCCACTTATACTTTGGCCTATGATAATTATTTTATTTATTTCTGACAGTTTTAAAAATAATTTTGTATGGAAATCTTGAGTTTTTATATATCAATGGCATACACATATAATTTTTTTGCATTGTTTACTGTTTTTCAATTTAAGATGATGATCCAAAGTTCACTTTATCTTGTTTTGTTTATTTATAAAATCAATACATATATTTAATGATATTATATTTAATAATCTCCTGCATCAATGTATATTCAAAAAGAGTAAATAAATGACACTAAAAATATTTTATATTACTTTTACATGTACTTTTTTAATCAAATTAGAATGGCAAATAAGCCTAATCTTCCTTATAGACATTGGACTTTAAATCTTGGATTGGATTTTGGACATCAAAGAATATAGAGAGACATGATAGTACCCCTCATGTTTTGCTATTCCTGAGCACTATGGCATATTCAGTAATATTAATAAATATCAGATACAGCTTTTAAAATAAGTCTCCCTTCCTTATAACAGATCAAATGCAGTTGTTAAGCATGTTCACCATACTGCCATCTATTTAATTACATTCCTACTTCCATATTGAGGTTAAATGAATAATGAATATATCTCATAGAAGTGGCAATAATATATTTTCCTATGAATTTTAATGTTGAAAGCTTTAAACCTTGGTTTCTATTTAGCTTCTAAAGGACTTCTAGACATATATGACTGTGTATAACACGATTTTATATATGAAATGCAAAGAAAATACTCAAACATGGCCACATTTATATTTTAATGCAGTAATTTTTAATTTAGATGTTCCTTCAGAATGTTTGTTTATAGAATTATATGTATAATTTGATACTAATTGGCAAAAAAAGTTAGGATTTTTTTTCTGGAAATGAAAGGAATAAGTCTGTATAACATGCCAGTTACTAAGTTGCTATGGAAATAACTAGAAACTTAGTGTTCTTACTTTTAACAGTTGATATAAATTTGGTCTTTATACTATTCCTTAGCTATAACTATTTTTATTTGGAGAGAAAAGATCGTAATGAACCGAGATAGATGAACAATGATACGATCCAAACAGCCTGGCAGTTTTTTCTTTAGAAGTCCAAAGGATCTTTAAAATTAGAGTAAATCAAGCAGAGACATATACGTTCAAAATGGTACTTCGACATATGGAGACCAGCCGTTGGCGCACGTGCTCCGCTGGCAGTGCTTCGGATAATGACCGCACCGCATTTTTGTGGCCCAAACTCCGGCGCACCGTGTAATTTGGTCCATCCTGCGCGCGCGCACTAATCACCTTTAATGGCAGATCGCTGGGGGGCGGGGCGGGTGATTTATAGCCAAACTCGTCTAGGTTCCAGCACCCAAACTAAAGGTGGAGTTAGACCGACTGAGCGAATCCCATTTCTTCCCTTTTTTCTTTTTTATTTAGTACTAGTTTTTGAACATAACTTCTGACGTGTAGATTTTGGAAATAGATAATCACTTCTTAATGGTGTATAAAACATATATCAGATTTTACATATAATCTACAGAGACACAACTGAAAATTGCTTCCGATTTGGACTAGTAGTTTTTGCGTGATACCGAAGCTAACAAACAGACAGAGAGAGTTTAGTTGCCGTGTGGGCCTGGCATAGAATGGGCCACCCCTTCCTTTCGTTTGTGGGTAGAGAGTAAAGAGTCGTAAGAGGCGAGGCGATGGACTGCAGTGTTCCTCTTAAAAGATCACCAAAGTCTAACTGTTGTAGTCTAGTTGTCAAACCGCCTGCCGAGCGTGAATACTACTGATAAAATCCGTATATGCAACAGTGGACAATACATAATAATAATAAAACATGTTTAGACAAAATTTTGTTATTTTAGTAAGATAGAGCTTGTATGAGTGTTCAAAAGCGTTTATTCTTTGTTTGATTGAACAAAACAACATTTGAAACCAAGGTTGGTATCTCGGTTTTATACTGTACCGCACTTTTTAATGGAAGTTGCTTTAATCCCTGACAAATACATATACTGTACGTACCGAAGCGTATCTGTTTGTATTTATCTGGGAGATTTTTATGTATGTAGTTATATGGAAAGTTCCTTATTCAACTGTACTTGCGACCAATTTCCAATTGGGTTCTCTGTTCTATGATTTTGTTCTATATTCTTTGTTATTTAAGTCTGAATTCACCTTAAAAGATTCCGTCCGTGTGCAGACCTCTCCCAAGAAAG